TCACCGACGGGCGTCGCCAGACAATGGGCAGCGCGTTGCGGCCGCCGATCAGTATGGGCTGCACGGTGCCGTGCTTGGAGTGCCCGGAGTGGAGGCTTGGAGCAGCGCGAGCAGCGCGACGCCCCGGCCGGCCGGCCGCCTGACCCCTAATGCCATCATCCGCCGTGATGGAAAACAAGGAAATCGTGCGTTCAGAATGTGACGCGTGTGTGGCCGCTAGATGAACGTCGTGGTTCCGGTGACTGACGGTGACGGTTGACGAGGACCCTTCACCGCCGCCGTCCCCCCGAGGAATTCGCTTTCGCCGGCGGCGCAGACAATCGCCGTGGAAATGAATCAGAGTGCGGGGCGGCCCCATGGCGGCCCCATGGCGGCCCCACGGCGGCCCCCTTGCAGGACGCATTCAAATCGGGGACGTGGCAGCGCGGGCACACGAGGCCCCGCCAGTCCGCGGTCGCCAGGCCCGGCCCGGCCCGGCCACCTGCTGCCAATATTTGTGCACCTGCACCGCGGTGGCCTGTGGCCTGCAGGCTGCGTCCGAACATGGCAGTGGCCGTTTCGTCTCTTTCTCACGCTCATGGAAGGTGCCGTGTGGGTGCGAGAGAGAAAGAGTGGGGTCGGCTGGCGCCGCGTGGACAGACGACGTGTCTCCTCGCCACGTCGCCGCGCCCGCTTCGGCCCCGCGCGCGTTTTGCCATCGATGGCCAGCTTTGCCAGCCTCACGTCCTCCTTGTAGGCGAAACCGAGCCGCCGGGCTTCCTCGCAGTTCAAAGCCCTCCGCTCGGGCCGGCCGCGGCGTGGCTGGCCAACCCGTCGTCCTTGACGGCGAGCTTGGCGGCGCGGCGGTCAGCGGGTCCACCCTTTAGCGCGGATGCGCCGTGCGGTTCGGGTTACTCCCCCAAAAAAGGCTTCCTCTTTTGGGCACTGATACAGCTGAGTGCGATGATGCCGGCCTCGTTGTTGGCGGCTTTGCAGGATCTTCAGGTGGCAGTCGTTGACTAAATAATTTCCTTTCAGATAAAAGAGTATCCGGACGAGGTAAAAAGGGAGAAGTTTCTGAAAATAAACATTTTAATTTGCAGTGTATCTCAATGAGGTGGGCGATTTTTGAAGGTAGGTACCGCCAGTTGCGGCACCTGCAAACGACGCGACGCTGACGCCCGCTCGGCCTGCATGGCGTGCATCGCACTTTGCCGTGCACGGTGCGCACAGCACGCAGGTTCGGGCGAAGGCAAGAGTGACGCTGGGTCTCGCCTTACGCGTCGCATGTCTGTCGCGGACCTCCCCGAACTGACCAGCAGCCAGCGGCCGATCTAACGCTGCACCGATCGGGTGCATCACGTTACCGCCGCCGCACGCGGCAGTTGCACGGATTCAAAGCAGGCAAAAACGACGACACGAGCGTGACACGAGCGTGTGCGGCGGAAAAGCGAGCAAACGCGGAATCACGCAAGTCGATCGAGCCTCCTTGCCGCCCCGGCCTCTGCCTCGCGCTGACATCCCGCAGCATTCCGGGCCAGTACGTTCGTACACCTTGAAGGCACACACGAGCGAGGCGAGGGCGAGGCAGGCGAAGCTGGGTTGGCGGCGGAAGGGAAGGTTCGTCGACGGGGTTCTATAGCGTCGCTATTGACAAGTCTATCTGCTTTTAATTTGACTCATTGACCATTTGACACCTGACCCCACGCGCTGGCCTCTAGAGGTAACCACTGGCACATAGACGCGCGCGCTCACACACACACACACACACACGTGCACTCCTTTCCTCCGCGGCCACACCCGCCAGCGGACGCGGCACGTACTTTCGATATAATCCTTGATCGGAATTAATAATACAGCTCTTTTAGAAACTGGTGGCGGCCTGCCGTCGCGCGCGCGTGGGTCCCGACTGGTCACTAAATCAAACGGGAAAGGCTTTACGGAGTGGAACTCTCTGAATGGGATGTAGTGACTAGCGCGGACCTAGCCGGCGAATCGGACCTTCTTTTTTTTCTCCCCCCTCCACACAAACACACACACACACACACAAGCGCGGTCGCTATTAAAATCAATGAAGCCCGTTGTGTTGGTCATTACCGTCCGCTGTCCACTAAACGAGGCGTTTGTCACGGATGAGCCCGCCGGGGCGCGGACCCGCGGCCCTCTCTGTCACTCGCACGGCGAGACCCGTCCTCCTTCTCGCCCTCCTCGGAGGCGGCCGGCATCAGGCAGGCACGGGCCAATCAATTTCCCACGGCCACCGATCGCTGTATCGATGATGGAGAGCAGCCACCAAATTCCTAGTCCAGGCAGGGTGATCGTGATTTGGGCCTACTCTGAGCAGCCACTGCGTCAAATCCCAGCTAAGTCTTTGGACCTTACTTTAGCATGCACTTGCTGGGGTTTGCGATTAGCCAGCGTCGTTCAGAAGTAGCATTGCCGCTGGTCAAAACGGCTACAAATAAACATTAAAATCAACTTAAAATTTCATGAAAATTTAATTGCATTTAGGAGGTAAACCCTGCCTAGTTTTCGGCGCGCCGCGTCCGCGGGCTGGTGGCTCTGCTGGAATGCTGGACCGCCAGTCTGGGTGTGGTTCTACGCGGGTTCCACGGGCTGTGGTGCGGGAGGACGCCGCGACGCCGCGCTGCCCCCACTGGGCGTCCGCAGCGCCAGCGTCATGGTGCCCTACTGGTTCCGGCGGTCGGGTCGGGCTGGGCTGGGTCTGGTGGCCGTGCCAGGACACTGTGGTACAGCCCCAAGGCCTCTAGATAGCGGGTGGGCTGAGCTGGCTGGCCTATCGCACGTAAACAGAAGGCAGGCCTGTGGCCAGCTGCAGCTATCGACGCGCGTCCAGGGCCCTGCCCGGGGCCCTGCCCGGCCTCGCTCTCTGTGGGGGCGGTGCTGCGGCGGTGCTGGGGGCCTGATAGCGCACACCAGAGCTCTCGTCTGACCTACTCTGGGACGCGGACGCGCAGCAGGCAACTCCCGTGAAAAGCAAACCACCAGTTCTGTCTGTCAGGGAATTTTTGTGGTACAATATTTTTCAGAAGTCCCCGCAGTTCAAAAAGAATTGTGTGATTCATGCTCGCTAAAATCACTACGAGCAACGCGACGCCGGCGCTAGCAGGGGGCGATGATCGGCATCCTTGGCCACGGCGCCGTCGACGGGGTCGGGGATGAGAGTTGCAGCGGCCCCGACCTCTCCGCCACTACACCCTTCTACACCGGGGCGGGCCGGGCCGCCGGCGTACGGCGCCTCGCGCAATCTTCTCTTCATTCAACAACTTTTTTCTTAATGCTTCATTCATAAAACTGTGGAGACGTGCCGGGGCGGGGGTGGGTGGCGTCGCGTAGCGTGGGGGTGGCAATGAGTCCGCGGGGTGGGCGCACGCCGCGCACGCCGGCGTGGGGGGCAAGGCCGGGCAAGGCACTGCAAGGCGTCGGTTCGAACTGGGGGAGGGGGCGTCGTCGCCGTCGTCGCCGCCTCAGCCAAGTGGATGATAATGCCATTCATTTGGCGCGAATCTCTGCGCGTCAGCTGATCGCGTCTGCTGGGACTTGGCTTTTATTATTCCGCTCCCGTTTCGCGCGCCTCGCCGGCCCCGGCGCGCCGCCCCCTTTGTTTCTACGCCACTGTTTTTCTTTTGGCGGCGAGAGGCGGCGTCTGGAGATGTTTGCACGTTATGGCTATTGATCCCGCGACACAGCTGCCGCCGGCGCGCCGCCGCTTCTTTTCCTTAGTTTTCCCCTGTTGCTTCGCGCGCCGCGTCAAAGTTAGCAACACCCCCGCGCCGCGCCGCGCGCCTTCACGGCCAGTAGTAGACTTGCCCTTCAAAGGCCGCGGCCGCGCGTCGACGGCGTGCCCCCTCGGTGACCCTGGCGGTGCGCGACGTCCGCGTCGTGCCCCCTCGGTGACCCTGGCGGCCCTGGTGGTGCGCGACGTCCGCGACGTACCCCTTCGGACCGCGATGGAGTCCTGGCGCCGCCCCCGCCGCGCCGGCCGAGCCATGCATGCGCCATTGGTGAGGCCGGCCGGGCCGTGTCCACCCCCCGAGTCAACCCTTCCACCGCGGCCGCTGACCCGCCCCGCCCCTCCCTGCCGGCCTGCCTGCAGGCTGCCGGTGGGGGTGGCAGTGCCGCGGCTAGAGCCTGGCAGCCGCGGCCTCGCGGACAGTGGCGCCCTGATAGGGTGGCGGCCGGACGCTGAACTAACCCTTGCGCCAGGGGGTGGCGTGTGTGAGGATGGGCCGCGGCCGAGCCATGTGTGCGAGAGAGAGAGAGGGGCCGCGGTGAGGGTGGGGGTAGAGGGGGCGTATCGGGCCAGAAGTGTGTCTCCACTGATACAAAGGCGTGCGGTGTTTCCATCCGTGGTTTGTTTATGGTAAATTCAAACCCTACCATCAGGTTAACTACGTAATTGTAGGTAAGCAAATTCCCTGCTGAAATCTCGACAAGGTCAATGTGGCCCCGATGACCCTGATGACCTTGCTGAGACTTCGATACGGGGCGCCGGCCGGGCTGACCACCGCGTGGGCGCCGCTTGGAGCTTTGAGATTCGAGCCGCGGTAATCTGCTCGCTGTCCGAGAGAGCGCGCGCGCATGCAGAGCGCCGCCAGCCGCCACCCCCGCGGCGCCGCGAAGGGCTGCGCCGGGCTGCGCCAGGCTGCGCGACCACAGGCCGCCCTTCCCCTCCCCTCCCCTGTCAACAGCCAGGCAGGCGGGCAGCCGGCCGGGCAGCCAGGCAGGCAGCCACCCCTCCGGCCGTGCTCCCTTCCCCGGCGCCGCGCCGCGCCGCGACGCCCAGCGAGAGAGGACCGGGTCCAGCGGGGAGGGAGCCGTGCCGGGCCGGGCCGGGCGTCGCGGCGCCGGCGGGGGAGGGTGCGACGCAGGCGGGCAGGCAGGCGGGCAGCCGGGGCCGGCAGCGCGCGCGGGTCGGCGCGGGGCGGGCAGGGCAGGGCAGGACTTTGCCGGGCTGGGCGGGAGGCCGAGCAGGCCTGCTAGCACGGAGCGAGGCGGCGCGCGGAGCGGAGAGCGGTGCGGACCAGTCAGTGTACCCTCAGAGGCCCTCCCAGGCGGACGGGACGGGTGTGACGCCAGCCAGGCAGCCAGGCAGGCAGACAGGCCAGCGCCACGAGCTTCTCGAGTCACTTCGCGACGTGGGTGGAGGACGCCGGCGCCGTGACTTCGCGAGTGTCCGTGCGTGTGCGCGCGTGCCAGTGACGGACTGAGTGACCTGCACCTGTCGGAGGACCTTCATCAACGCTGTGGATTTTTTTTCGCATCGTCTGTGCTGTGGTGACGTGAGCGTGTGTGGTGTGTGTCACCCAGTGTGTGGTGGATTCAGTGGATTTGCAGTGCATGGCTGCTTCGCCATGCCGCGCGCCCGACCGAGGCTGAGGGCCTTCCCCGCCGAGACATCGTCGTCGTCAAGGAAAAAGGATTAAAGTGTGCCAGTGACTCAGTGATCGTGCGGCCACTTGTGTGGTGTGTGGTGACTCGGTGACGTCGTGATGACACAGTGATACTCGTGTGGACAAGGCAGTGCAGGGAAAGTGCTGTTTTCCCGCCGTCAAGCACCACCACGACTCGCCCGTCGCGAAAATGAGGATAAAGATGCCCGCCGTGAGGATCGCCCAAGGTAAGTCCTGGGGGACCTCAAGGGGTCCGTGCTCGTGTCGTCCCTCTGCGTGTCGCTTCGCTTCGGGTCGCGGTGCAGTGCGCGCGCCGCGTTGCCGGGACGTCGTCGGAGTCCGCGATGCCAGCCGCGGCCGTGGCGGCGGGCTGCCTTTGCTGCCTTGGCTCAGCCGGTGCCACCGCCACCCCATGGGGCTGGCGGCCTGGCGGGGCGGCCTCGCCGGCTCTGCGGCACGGCGCCCTGCCCAGCCCCGCGGCGGCAAGGCCCTGGGCGCCGGGCGTCGCACTGGCAGACCGGCCGGGTCGCCGCCTTAAAAATTAAAAGTCTGCGACAAAACAAACAGAGCGCTAACGATGGCGCGGCTGGCTGCGGGGTGGGCTGGGCCGCCGCTCCCAGGCTGGCGGCGCCGCGGCGGTGTGGCGCCCGGCGCTGGTCAAGTCCCTCACCTCCGGCTCGTCGGCCACCTCGGCCACCTCGGCCAGCAGGTAGAGGCGGTAATGGCTGCCCGTAATTGCCGCACTGCACTCAGGCTTTTGTTTCACTCCGGGAGCAAGTGCACAGTGGTGTGGTGGCGCTACGCTGCGATGAATGGGCGAAATGGGGTGAGCCTGCCTTGGGGTGAGCCGCGCCGCCGCCGACACGGCCTGGCCGGCCGACCCTCGCGCCGCGTCCCGTCCCTACAGTGTCCCTACCCGTGAGCTCAGGTAGGCGAGGCGCCCCACGGTGGGCAGCGCGGCCTGCCTCCCTCCCTCGTTGTGCTCGACGCGGTGCTCGACTTGCTCGACGCGGTGCTCGGCCTGGCGGCAGATTAGGTCCGCGTCGTGCACGTCATCGGCTCGAAAAGTGGTTTATGTGCCTTTGTCATTTCCTCGGGTTCGGTTTCCGTGTTCCGACGGCCGGCCCGTACTCCGTCCGTGCGTCGGGCCGGGGCTCGCCTCCTGCCCACGACTTTTACGAGCGGGAAAAAGGAACGCCCCGCTTCGTCTCGCGATGTTCTAGTTTTTCGCGGCCGCGTTGCGCGCCTTTGCCGGCCTGAGTTAGGGGTGCATTGTTGTTGTTGCACGGTGCGCGGTGTGTCGGCCACGTCGTTGTCGCCCGTCGTCGTCGTGCAGAATTTGCCGTGTAAAAACTAAATACGTTCGGTGCAGCATTGTGTGCTAAACAGGATGCAGCGGTGCAGTGCGGAATCTGTTTTCGGATTGGGCGCTCATCATAGTTTCGGGTTACGTGGGCGGGCTGGGGCCGGGCTTTCGGTTTGCACGTGCAGCCGGAACGGATGGCGGGGGTGGCGGGGGCGGCGGGCGGTGCGTGGACGGAAACCCGGAGCAATCTACGCTCCTCCAAAGGGCCCGACGGCCACGGCCTGGCGGAAAAAAAGGCGACAGGTGTCTAGCCTCGGCCTCACCCTCTGCTGCGTTTTGGCACGTTGGCGGCGGGGCGGGGGTGGGGCGGCGGCAGGAAGAGGCGAATAACGTGGCAAAAAGACGGCGGCCGGCCGGCCGGATCCGGGCCGAGAAATAGATTAAAACGCGTGGGTCTCTCCGTCACCACGACGCGACGCCGCTGACTGGACCGCGTGCGTCTCGGCCGAGGCCGTCCTCCAGGACGAGAGCGCGGCCCCGCTGTCCACTTGGCGTCCAGGGCGACGTCCAGGACGAGGTCCAGGATGGGGCGGCGGGGGCGGCGGGTTCGCCACTTGCGGAGTCCCGAGTCCCCCACGGGCCAACTGGGCCAAATGGACCAAATAGGCGCAACGAGCTCCGCATGCCCCGCCTGGTCGGCATGGTCGGCCGTGCGGACTGCGGGACAAGGCGCGCTGCCCCGCGCTGCCCTGCGCTGGGCCCTGGGCATATTGCCCGCTTCCGGCCAAGCGACATGAGCAGTGCATGACACCAGTCCGCCAGCCGGGGCGGGGCGGGGCGGGCAGCCAGGCCACCCAGCGGGCCCTGGGGGGCCTAACTGGGGTCGGGCCGACATGTGCGGACGGACGGACGGACGGACGGACTACGATGCGACGCGCGGAATTGGCAGATGGATCCAGTACGGCGGGTGTCGGCCGGACTGGGGCGGCGCGGAGGGCCGCGGGGGAGGGGGGGGGGGGGTCGTGACCCCGCCGTGTTGACTATGAGCCACTCCCTGACGGACGGCATGCCGCGACGCGTGTGTATGTTGGCTGAAAACTGGACAGCGAGGGTCATTTCCTCCTCGCGAGCCGTCCAAGGGCCCCGTCCTGGACGACCGGCCCGTTTCCCTGAAGGTGCTCGACCGGCCTGGCCGCCACGCCGCGCCGCGCCGCCACGCGGCCCGGGTCAGCCGAGCAAACACGAAGCAGGTCCTTGACGGCCTCAGGCGCCTCAGGCCTCACACACCTACTTTGCTTAAACCAATACCTGGAGCTGCGGAGCACCGCTATGCCCATACCGGCCGCACCGCGCTCCGCGGTCGCGTCACTGCGTCGCCGGCAGCGCAGGAGTGCCACGACACGGGGGAAAAATAAAGAAAATAAGAAAGACGGCGCGAACACGGCCGGACATGTGTACATACGAATCGCCCGCCCCGCCGCGGCCCTGCCCGGAGTGACCCTTTTTTATGGGTCGGGCAGGCGCCTGGCAGGCGAGGAGTCGTCCCTGTCGGTGTGCTTGTGCATGTGTGTGTGTGAGTGTGTCGGTCACGGGTCGGGTCACTCCTTCTCGCGACCCGCGCCTCGGTGTATCAGCCTGCGAATAGATTGTCCAACTTTATTTGCACTTTTTATTCGATGGGTGTGTGTGGCTGCGGCGTGGTTGTGGCGCCACGGTGGTAGCACTGCATTGTGCCCACGGCCCCTCCTAAGCCTGCATAATTTATTGAACTTGACTGGAAAGTAAGACGAAGGGCAAACAGCAGAGGTGGGCCAACTTCTTCCCCTTCTTCTTCTTCTCGCTCTCCCTCTTCTTCCTCTCCTCGCCGCCCTCTGCGGTGTCCCCCTCCCTTCCCCGCCCCCCGTGCTGTTTGATAGAGGGATCGTCCCCCGGAGGCCTTCGCGGGCAAGTTTGAAGAAGCAGGGAAGGGGTGCAGCAGCAGGGCCGAGCAGGGCGCGGGACATGCGAACATTTTCTTCTTGTTGTGCGCCTCAAGCAGGTGTGTGCATGTGTGAGTGCGCATGTGTGTGTGTGTAGCGGAAGAGGAGAAAGTGATGCCACGCCCGCCCAGTATTACCTTGCGCTCATCGCTGCCGCACTCACACACTCGCACACACCTTGAGAATGATGAGACTTGTCATGCTGACCGCACAAAAGGGTCAACAACAGAAGGGCGAGGCAGCCCACTGGGCAGGCAGGGCCGGCAGGGCCGGGGTGGTGGCCACTTGGATGGCCAGGGTGCTGTCCTTTGTCCGCCGTCCGGCCTCTCCGTGAACCCTTGCTCACCTCGCCGTGGCGTGCCGCGGCCCGTGTCCGGCGTAATCATCACCCGGCTCGCGGTAATCGGCACCGCCTTGTAAGTAGCCGGGCCGGCCTTTTTGCAGCCGCACAAAAGGGTTGGGCGTGGCGCGGCGCGCGCTACCTCCGAGAGGGTCATCCTCGTCGTCCTCCTCGTCATTATGCACTTGTTGTCGTGCGCGGCTCCGCCGTGAGTTATGGAGTGGCCGTCGAGGCACGACGCGAAGGGCTCCCAGCGAGGCCGCGCCGGATATTGATGCACCTGCTTGTTCGCGCGAGCGTCCGCAGCGTCCGCAGCGTCCGCGCAGGAATCCGGAGTCCGCGGACTGAGGGCTAATCCGGCGGGACTTTGGGGCCGCGCAGAGCGAGGCTCGCACGCCGCAGAGGAAGACCGGTCGCTGGCGGCGCGTGGCCGCCGACCGTCGACGGCGACGTGGTGGGGCCCGGGGCTCGGGGCGGACACTGTCATTTGTACGCAAACAAACTGGCGGGACGGATACGCTGCCCCGGCGCGCGGCTCGTCGTGGCTCTCGCAGCTCGTGCTGGTTAATTACCTCGATGACGGCCTATTACGCCGCGGACATCTGGCCGGCCGGCCCGATGGCGGAGCGGCGGCCTGACCGGACCCGCAGCACGCCGTCAGCACGCCGTCAGCGGATGCGGCCCCTCGGGCCCCGCGGCCCCCGCCGCCGCCGGCCCGCGCCCCCGCGAGGCGCGCATCGCGCAGCGGCGTACGCTGACAGCTGTGAGCAATCTGGGGCAGGCGGGGCGGGCGGGCCAAGGCTCCCCGGGATGTGCAAGGGTTGCTCGCACCCGCGCGGAGTGTTCATTCATTCGAACCACCCCGCGGCGCGTCGCCGTACTCCTCGACGCCGACCGCGGCCGGAGGGGAGGGCATCGCTGCCCCTCCGACGCCGCTCGCGACGCCCGCACACGCACCCCCGCGCCCCGGCGTCGGAGGGGAGGGCGCCGCGTCGCCGGCGTCGCTGCCTTGCCGCTCCGCGGCCGGCGGGGTGGTAGCGCCCGGCGCTTGCGGAGCGCGGAGCGCACAGCCTCTCTCCACCGCCGCTAGATGGCGCTGGCGCTCGCCACCGCCGCCGCGGCCGTGCGGGCGATCGGGACGTGCGCCCCCATGGCCCATGGCCCCACATCGAACTCTTTCCCTCCCGTCATCTCTCTCTCCCTCTCAGGTGGATGAAGCGAGCCGCCTTCAGTGCGCGCGGCCGCTCACGTGACCCGGGGAAAAAGTTGGCCAGACATTTCGGCCTTTGTCCGGGGCCGTGCTGCTGAGTGCAGGTGCTGCTCGTCGCCTCGTTGGTTGCCCCGCCGTGCCCCGGCCGGCACGTGGAGCAAGTGGACAGTGCAGGGCGCTCGCCGAGTCCATTTACAAATGGCTTTCGTCTGGCGGCCAGGGCCTCAGCCGCCTCGCCTCGGGGCGGGGGCGTCCCAGACGGTATTTGTCACCTGGCCGATGGACAATGGCGCTGCAATCACTACTCGTCCGGTAGGAGAGCGCCGCACTTTTTGAAAATGTAACAAAGGGACAAAACGGCTGCTATATCAAAGCAGTACGCGCCCGGCGCG